TGTAACACTGAGTTAGACACCTCATCGAGAGATGAATGTTGCCGACCGCTTGCTTCTCTAGTTATACCAACTTTAGTAATGACTGCACGATAGCAATACACAGCGGGCTATGTCTCCACGCGCACACCTCAAGCAAAAAGCCACTGTATAGCCATAAATAATGCTCAGAACAGCACCTAACTTCATCAACAGTACATATAGGATCCTTGCCATAGTTCTAGCCACCAAACATCTTTTTAGCGTTGACTGATTTCTTTAGCAGAGACTAAATACAACTCACCCACTCTCTCCCAGCAGCCACTTGTTTGTAAGGAGACCTCGGATGAGTCCATCACTGTGTGCAGCGTGGTGACGCAGCTCAAGGAAGAACATTTATGAATTTGGGGGTGCCACCAAAACGTAATGATTGCATTTTATGAATATACAGAGCTCAGACTTGCTGTATTTTGCTCAGACAAATTTAGGGGAACTTTTCAAATTTAACAAAACACTCAAGGATATACAGTACTTCATTGATACATATTTTGTAGCCTTGCGATTAAGATCCATACATTTTTCTTTAGCTGCTCAAACTAATCAAGTACAAACTGTGTCAAGAGTTTCCGACTCTGCAGCATCTTCATGCAAACTAGGGAGTCAAATAGCTGCCAACATAAAAAGGCAGCATTTTAGGCTCCACAGTGACACTACAGGGTTGCCCGGAAATGAGGGGAGGGATGACATGCACCAAAAGTCTCTCACCAGCTGGGAGGCCAACAAGACACCCCAGCAACAGTGCTGAGTGGGGTTTGAACTCGAGACCTTTTGTTTTTGAGGCAGCTGCTGTGACCACTGAGTCACACAGTCTCTCTGACCCCTTTTCAAAGATTTATATTTTTTCTGGGAACCAATGGACTTGGGGGCTGGGTGCCTCAGCACTGTGGTGGAATCCAGACTAATGGACTTTTCATTGGATTTGTCAACTGTGAGAAAAATAAAAAATAACCAGCTGGCTGCTAATCCATCTTTTACATCAATATCCTTTGACAGACTCAGTGCAGGTATGTTTTTTTAGTTGTTCAGATGTGAGTCAAGGTAGATTTGAAGCTTTTCCCTCTGAAGTTTTATGCAGATCAGCACTCTGACTTCTAAATGCCCTCTGAGTAAAATTAGAAAACTCTGGGACAGTGTTCATTTATTGATGAGTTATTTCAACTTAGACTTCGGTATAAATGTCAACAGGAGGCTGCCACGTCTGTCTGACAAACAATAATAACACAAAATAGACTTGGCCTGAAAGAGTCTTGAGCTCTGATCAATAGTGGGCTTCTTAAAATTCAGGGCTCCCCCTTTAATGGGAGTCATGAAGTCAATATTTGATGGATGGCATAGATTTATTTGGCCGCTGGTATTTTAACCTGCGGTGCTGGCCTGTGTGGGGGCTCCAATGATTGCAGAAGAGGTCCTGAGCCTTCAAAACTGGAGGGAAATTCATTCAAAAAGATGGAGAGAAAACACTTCCATGAGATAATCAATTAACAACAATTGACACCAGAGCTGAATAACTAAAGCAATGAAAAGGGAAAGATATTAAAATACCACAATAAAACTGCACTTTATGAGACTACAATGTCTTTTTACAGATTTGACATCAATAAAACATGACCTGTACTCAGGTTTTACTACGTTTTCTGCGTTGAAAGTTCTCTGGTTTCTTTAATAAACTGACCAATTCCCCGCATGGAAAGCAAAAACAGGCAGATTGTGCACTAATAAAATGATATCCAGGTTTCCATCAGCAGTAATCTAGGTACGATTTACTTATCTCTATCAACAGTTTAGTGGATCTCAAATTTCAACTCCAATGACACATCTGCTCAAGCCCATAGATGACAGTTTTTTTTTAAATCTATATGACAAAGATGGCTTTTTTAGCTAGTTACAAAGTCTGATTATAGTGGGTTGTTTTCATACATTTACCTTTACTCAGTGGTAAAGATGGATGGAAAATAGAGGAGTGGGGCTTGGCACGCAGCAGGAAATCAAGTCTGGGAGTCCAAACCTGCAACCTCTGCGATAAGGACTACATCGCCTCTGCACAAACCACTATGCCAATCCTTATCATAATATCATTTATCCTGCCAACTTTTTATGCTTTAATTGTCAGTAAATCCTCATAGCATAGGTTTGTTTTTGCATGCTCACACAGCTAAAGTAAAGCAGAGGACAGTGTCTGCGTATTTACTGTTGAATTGTGAACTACCAGTACTTGAAACAGATAAACAGATGCAACCCTGGGGATGTCATGGACAAAGGACTCGCAACATGTTGTGAACACTGCTGATGTAAACCCCACGGCGTCCATGCCATGGCATACTGATGCAGTTCTTCGAACAAAAGGACCCTTGACCACGAGCTGAGTGCAGAAATGAAAGTGATTTTCAAGAAGTTCGACATTTCTGTATTTTCAAGCTGTAACCATCAAAATTCAAACTCAAAAAGTTTTGACATATTTCACTTTATATGTGATGAATCTAGAGTATAAAAAGTTCCACTTTTTTTTATCTTTTATCTAAACCAATTTAATCAAGAGTAGAAAAGTTAAAAGAATAACTTAAAGATGGAAGTGTTGTTGTTTTTCTCTCTTCTGTCTTTTTCTGTAGTCTAAAGTTTGACATCACCTTTGTCAATCACTGTCATATTAGTCCATTATTTTCTCATCCTTGCATGTGTTGTCAATTCAACAGCTACTTAAAAGAAATTTGTACTGAGGAGGTCAAGCATTGCTAGAAACTCTTCATCATTCAACAATCTGTAATCAAAGAAGACTCTTCTTTACTGGCTTCAGCACAGCGTTTATTAGTGTTTTGAGAGCCTAAGCTTGGCTTTATTTTTCACTAGCTACAAAGCTGAAGCTCCTCATGTGTATTGTCTATTAGGATCCCCATAAGTAAAGGCATAGTGGATGCACGGTACCTGGGGGACATGACTCCTGTATTTCCAGTACCTGCCCCTCCTGTCCTCTGCACTTTTCTGATCAAGTTAGATAATGTTAAATTCATTTTTAGTCAGTCTTTTGTCAAGACAGAGATTGTCTTTCTGGGGTCTAACAAAAAAATTCAAAATACTACATAAACATTCATTCAATAATCATACAATCACAAGTTTTCAAATTAAGTGAATAAAAATAAGAAAACAGGATGCTACATGTAAATAAAAAGATGCAATCAATATGAAACAAGCCGGAATCATGTACGTTCATGAACTTTTGTGCCTCTGGGGACTAGGACAGGCTTAATTGCATTGAGTGTTGTTTTTACTTTTTCTTAAAATTAAATTTTGTGCATGTATTCTTAATATAATTAAGCAGTGAGGTCCATCCTCTCATAGCTCGATGGATAAAAGTAGATTTGAGTAGCTCTGTTCTTGGTTTAGGTGGTTCAGTATATCCTGAACTGGCTGGTCTAGTCATGTGGTTATGGACATCTCATGTATATTCGACTTGGTCATAGAAATGCTGTGGTCTCTTGTCTATGTGAGGATCCTTTCTATCAGCTGTCTCTGAGTAAAACAACCCTGACTCCAGGTTATGTTTACCATCTGGCTTCCTAGCCGCGTTCATGCTATTCAACTCAAGGCTAAAATCTTGGTATGTGATGCTGAAGCACATGCAGAATGTTTTAGACAGTTTCAGTTTGATTGAGCTGTATAGTTACATGGAGGAGAAAATCAATCCCCAATCACATTAGTTTGATTAAATGCAATCTCAGTCTGGCCGATGTATGACATTGAGTCAGGTTGTGAAGCTCACAGGATGTGGTCTCTGGTCCAATATTATTTTTAGGAAATATTACTGTTTCATTTTCTTTAAAAGATGGCCATCGTAAATACTGATGTACTTACAGCTTTTCCACAAACCCACACATGTAGACACGTGTAGAAACAGAGCACACACAACCTGTGTGTAGTATAAAGGCTTTGTTAACTCTGCAGCCTCTGGGATCTCATACAACATGCCTCAGCTCTGTAGTGTGCTCCCACATTGGGGCTGCGGAGGCTCCACATGGGCTCTGCATGAGCTGTGGTTAGCTTTCTGATGCTTGCACCAATGATTGATGGTAGAGACAGGTTTAATGGCTGAGGAATATTCTATTCAAGACACATAGAGCAGAGCCATTTCCACTTCAAGTGTGCACTGCCTTCTTTCAGAGTGATTGAGCTGTAAAGAACAGTGTCCTACTCAGCAGGCAAATGATCCAACTGTTCTGCATATCATAGACTAAACTGAAGAAGCAAATACTGTTGCAGCAGGAGCTAGTTAAAGCACAATGGAGCCTGATTATGTGGAAAAAAGCTGTCAAGTGTTGTGAGAGTGCCAACTTAAAATCCTATCAATCAGAACCTGCTCTAAGTGTATGTGAAGAGACTTTCATTAACCACTTCCATCAAGGATGAACTCTGCAGGACTGAAAAACTCCTAAATCTTCATCTTAACAGTATAATGGCGGCTTGACTTAGAATAGAGGCCGGAAAGTATTATCAAACGCACCCGAGGCAGTCCAATAGAAATAAGTAGATGATTGATGATAATAAGTCAAGTTTTAAAGATCTTCTTGTGCATCTGCAAGATCTGCTTTCTGTTTTTTTGTTTTTTTGTTTTGAGGACTGTTAAAGCTATAGTTCATAACTTCTACTAGTCTGTAAATATCCGTCTCACCCAAGCCACTACAAGAGGAGATGATACAAAGCTGACTAAGCAGTTTGGCTCCTCTAACACCCCGCAGTATTTTTCAGTATTTGTTTTTGTGTATTTGGTGTCGTGGGGTGACATTCCCGCTTGTGCACAGGAAATGACACATTCTACTCGGTTTTACCTGACAACAAGAAGGGATCGGAAGAGGTTTGGGGGAAGGGATGACAGGACGGTGTTCACAGCAGGAGGAGAGAAGATACAGCTACTGGCAGAGCAGCCCATCCAAAGCCTCAGGAGAGAGTACACTTCAGAGCTCTTGGACAGGCAGATGGGGAGGACTGTCCAGAGGCAGCTGAGAGAGGGGCTGGCAAGGATCGACAACAGCCAACTTCCCGGGAAACTGAAGGTGTGATGTTACCACTTCACACTGTTCCAGCGGGTGATGTGACCACTGAAAGTAGGTGAAATTCCATCTTCTTTGGCCGGTAAGATGGATGGCATCGCCAATAGTTACATCAGGAAGTGGTTGGGCCTCCCCCGTTGTTTCTCGAATGTAGGTCTCTTCGGCAAGAACATGCTGCAGCTTCCTCTGAAGTCCATCAATTTAGGATACAGGCAGAAGAAGACCCACCTTTTACTCGAGCTGGGAGAAACCAGAGACGAAGCGGTGAAGGGCGCAGCGGTGATGGTCCGTACCGGCCGGAAGTGGAGAGCCCAGTACGAAGTGGACCAAGCCGTCTCCAGGCTGCAGCACAAGGAGATCCTGGGAAGAGTCCAAGACAGCCGGGCAGGGCTGGGCTGGGGGCAACCAGTCCAGTTCTGGTCTAAAGCCACAAGGGACCAGAGGAAGGCCATGGTGGTGGAAGAGGTCTCACAAGTGGAGAAGGACCACTACCTTGTCAAGGTCATTTCCCAGGGGAAACAGGGAGCATGGACTCGTTGGGAGGATACCATCAACAGAGTCATAACCTGAGCAGACATCTGGCGAACTCCACAGTCACAGCTCAGCTTCCTCATAAGGGAAACGTATGACACCCTCCCCTGTCCTCGAAACCTCGCCCAATGGTTCGGAAGTGAGGGCAAGTGCTTCCTGTGCAGCAAGGACAATGCAGGTCTCCAACACATCCTGTCAGGGTGCAACATCTCGCTGACGCAGGGGTGCTTCCAGTGGCAGCACAATCAGGTGCTAAGGAAGTTAGCAGAGTACTTGTAGAGATGCAGAGTTGGGGCAAACAACTCCTCGGATCCCCATTGGCCTAACATCGCCTTCATCAAAGGAGAAGTAGGACAGAAGACAGCAGCGGGAAGGTCAGCACTTCTGCTTACCCCTGGAAAGGGATGGGAAATGCTTGTTGACCTGGACAAGCAGCTAGTCTTTTCAACCAAGGTCACACGGACAACGCTTAGGCCGGACGTTGTGACGTGGTCAACAGCTGCAAAGAAAGTCCTCATAATTGAACTAACTGAGCCCTGGGAGGAGGGAATGGCAGCTGCACATGAGTTCAAATGGTCAAAGTACAGTGACCTGGTGGAGGAGTGCAGAGATGGAGGCTGGTCCACAACCATTTACCCGGTGGAGGTCAAATGCAGGGGCTCTGTGGGGGGGTCTGTGATCCGGCTCCTCCGCACTGGGGCGAAACGTCAGTGAACGGTGGCACCAGCCGACGACCCTGCAGCTGACCTCAAGGTGCACTGGAGGAGGTGTGGCAGGCAGAGATGCCAAGCAGTTAATCTGTATTATTCAAGGAGGGGTAGGAGATCGCTGCTCGTTGGAACATAGCAAAGAACCCGGAGAAACGACAAAGAGGTTCAGAAGTGGATCCTTATGGCAATGTGGCACAGATTGCATCCTGGGTACGCATCTGGCACTGACAAGGCAAGACTCTTTGGACCTCTACATGAAAATTTCTGCCAAGGCACGTCTTAACAAGCCCAAAAAATGCAACCCGTAACTCATGAGGTTAACAAGCGACTTCAGAGAAAAACAAGCCCAAAGTCACTCATGATAAGTGAATATGGGAACTACAACTGTTTCCTTTTGTTTAGACTTTTGCATGTGTTTTTTTTAAACTGTGTAATTTCTGCATTTGCAGTATGTTTCTCCTGTTAAAAATCATCTGGGCTATTGCAGATTGTTTGTCTGTATCCATCATTGTACACATCATGATCATGAGTGCTGTTTGATGAAAATGTGAAACACTTGCTAGCCAGGTGATAAGCAGGTGTTTTAACAATCAAGCCTGTGGAAAGAAGTGTTTGGAAGTTGTTTTAGTTCACATAGTTTGAAAGTTTGTGCAGAGGAGCTGCAACAAATCTGCAGACTCATCTGTTACCTTGCAACCCAGGTGAGGCAGTGGAGTTATATAACAGATGAACAGAGCCAACTAACTGGCAGCTAGAACAGGACTGGTGACTGGTTCTAACCTATGGCAGTAGGGTGGGCATGTAGAAATATCAGGGGCTGGGGGGTCAGGAAGTACTCAATCTTAGCTCTAGAGTTTTGTCATTTATGCAGGATCTGAATGGAGCTCAAGAAGGGTGGGGTTTATTTAGTGTTGCTTTAAGGAGTTGTGTGTGTGTGTGTGTGTGTGTGTGTTTGCTGTTTGTTTGTGTCTGTGTGTGTGTGTGTGTGTGTGTGTGTGTGTGGGGGGGGGGGGGGGGGTAATTCTTTCTATCCTATCCTATTTGATTTATGTTTGATTTAGAAGTTGTGAATCAGCAACACTCTATTCTAGTCAACCACATATCATCATCTTTATTGGATGAGTTTGATTATTGTTTATTTATCATTTGTTTTGGATCCCCATGAGTTATTACCACAGTGACAGCTCTTCTCCCCTGGGGTCTACACAAGACAAGACAAGACAAAACTAAAATCAAACCATTTATAACACAACACAAATCAATCAAGTTCTCAGACAAAATCTAATCTGATGAGACTGATGTGATACTAGACAGTACTTTCTAGAAGGTACAGGGTAGTTTCACTTGAACTAAAAAGAGATAAAGAAATTGTGAACTCACCAAACCTGAACTCAAACCTCAACAATATTATCTACTAGCACTCATGCAGGCTGAATCTGTTGAATTATTCCCTTCCTCTGAGATCTGTTTTATTCTGTATGAATAAGTCTAGGAGGGCTGAGCAAATCCTGCAAAAGCCTTGAGTGAGTGAAAAAAACAGGAGAACAGGGCAATGTAGCTTGATTTTAAAGCTGTTTGAACTAGGATTTGGACAAACTATAATTCATTCTGATAAGACTGTCAGTTTTTGAATGACCTGGACATTCCTCTCCTAATGTTTTATATAAAAAAATTTCAGTTATGTGCCAGAATGTTCAAAGATAAAAACAGCGTTGCACTTGACATTCAAAAAACATTGTGTCTTGGCAGATACTTTGTTGGCAGGTTGGTGCTCTGGACTAAAACAGGAGGTGTCTAAAGTAGAGAAAACATAAAATTACTGCCTAAAGTTGATTAGATTCTATAATAGATTAAACTCCCAGCCAACACTGCCAAATGTGAGCTCAAACTCAGCATGGATTTTTAATTTGCTTGGTGTTTGTGTCCAGGAACATCTAGTAATGCACACAGGCTGGTACTGAGAATACCATTAAATCAGCAAACAATACCTGGCTGGTTGTTGTTGCCTCCTGTTAGACAAAAGGAGGAGATGCACTCACTTCTTTCACCATCACTTCTGTTTGGACAAACATGTTGGAGGTAATACATGAGGTTATACTCTTTCCTTGATGTGCAATTGTATTTCTGTCCTACAACAGAGCTCCATCAACAGATAAGGGCTGTACAGCTGTGCGGATAACTTGTAACAACTCCAACAAGAATACAATGAACTCTGACAGAATAATGAACACTCAGCACTTCCTATTGTTAGCTTGATTACAGAGCTGCTTGTTCAGGGTATTCTCTCTATTTGGATTTGTTTGTTTTGCTTGAGTGGATCAACAGTGAAAGAGTCATCTTTTAAATTAGCTGCTTCTCACACCACCGAGCAAAGAAAGTCAGGAAGGGGACAGACATTAGGCATCATGAGGCCTTTTCAGCCTACAACAGCAAACCTCAAAGATGATTGCTTTTGCTTGTTCCTTTTTAATAAACACTAAATATGCAGTGGCCTAAGTATTGCTACGGCAGTGTGGGTGACTCTCCCAATGAGTAAACTCTGCAGGAAATTGGGTTTGCTGTCCTTTTCTCCTCATGTAAACTAAAGACAAAGTCTGGAAGCTCTCCTGCTCTCATCTTGTATTGCAGTGATGTCGTCAATGCGGGTGAAACAAATGCTGCAGCCTTCAAAAATTGTCGTCTCTATTTCCATATAATTTCCATTTTGTATAGTAAGCAGGTATGTGTCAAAAGATTGAGACAAGCTTGTCGAGTTACCCAACTTTGTCTTTTCCAATTTTATCCTAAATTTATCATAAATGTATGGGGAGAGACCAAAAAAAAAAGATTTTTGAGGGGTTGGATACAAATCTGACAGCAACATAAATATCAGGGCTGTGCCATGAGAGGTTAAGGCTGAGATTTACTGAACCTCTACATCCCTTCAAAATATTCTGCTGTCTTATTTTGCACTGTCAAGCCTCATCCAGCAGTTAATCAAAAAAGATACCTACATGTGGCAAAGGGTGTAAATACATAAAAGGATTACTGCATCAGAATTAGCTTTTTTTGAATGAGTATGTACAGATGTCTTCACTGCACAGTACATTTAATTGTGTTAGTATTCTCACTTCTTCCTGCTCACTTTCCTGTCAGAACATGTGTGTTTCAATCAGGACAAAAAGCTAGATAATTTAGATATTTATTTTTGCAGAGATAATGACATATTTTCAGAGGGCATCCTCACTCCTGGACAGGACCTGGGCCATCTTAAGACACTGCTCCAAAACAATCTTTCAGCTCTTAAGCAAGACGAGCTACAAGGCCTATTTACAGCTTACAGCACATAATAACCAAAGGTTGACGTTATTCACCAACTCTGTCCATCAGATGTTTGCAGAAGAGCTTGAGCCAGGCAAGACAGCATTACATAACCACGCCTTGAATCAGGGGAATTCATCCTTTTTTATCACTGGAAGTAACCTCCACTTTAGCCAAGCTGGTCTAGTTCTCTGTATGCTGAATTAAGCATATAAATTAAATGAAAATAAATTAAATCAAATGTGCCTTCTTGAAAGACATTTGACTTTCTTCCTGCTGCAAGTTAACCTGCAAGTCATTTTGTTTTGAGTTCACTGGCTAACATAAGTGAGCAACTTGATGTTGGTGTTTTGGTGACCCTGTCATCTGATGACTTTACATCTCTCACAAATGCCTTTGGTTTTTCACTTAATACATATCTGATTGTTTTAACTGACATTATTCGTGTTTTTTTTTCATGTTTTATCAGCTGTTGTAACTATGACAATCACTGACACATTGGGTGAAGGTCACCAAATTTCAACAGCAAATGCAACCTCAAGGACAACCTGATCACGCACTTCAAATTAATCTGTAGAAAGCAGTTATAAGTGGCTGGCCAGTAACCTGCAGGAGAAAGTCGCAAGAGGTGGAAAACGGCAAGGAAATTAAAGATGGTTGTTAAAACACACAAGGGGCTGAGTGGAAGTTCATATTGAAGAAAGCCGACACAGAAAAATCACAAACAGTGTGTAAGCTGAGGTCTGCTGAATGCTTCTGTGTCAGACCTACACCATACACAGTAATGGCTGATGTTGTGTTGAGCACTACATGCATCTGTGTTGGAGTGTCTACATTGTTCTGCAATACTCCACCTAAACAGCAGTCAGCAGTGTGATGTCCTTACCTGTCACAATGTGTCAACCATGTTACCATGTCAACTAAAAAGGTTAAGTTGGAGTTGCTACGTGTTGTGCAGCAGCTGATCATGCTTCCATTACTGCATAAAGAGAAAGGAGGGGTCATTACAGGAGACGGACTGTGCTGCCCTGAGGAAAAAGGACAGGGGATGGTCGTGACACTGGGAAGAAGACCTGTCACAGGGCATTTTGTCTGCAGTGTTTTAACCCATACATTGTTAAGGCTGTGGGTGTAGGGCTACATCTGTAGGCTGGATAACTTTTTTGTTTTCAAAAAAGTGGTTTGCAAAGCTGCTCCTCTTCTACTTTACTGATATTACCCAACTTGAGGTGCAGGACATCATCAAAGGGATGAAACCCTTCACTTGTG